ATACGCATTATCTACTTGTTTCATTGATTCCAAGTAGCATCATGATTTAAAGAAGTGGCAACTAAGGTTTGATTTGTAGATTTCCATGATATAGTAGTATATATAGCCACCCTTTAATGGAAAACATGTTTGAGATCGAGCTTTATGCGGATTGGATTAGTACACTGCATCGGCATAACCTATTATTTTCGATTTGAATTTATTAGAGTAAAATAAACCCATGTCAATTCTTCCACAGAGATAGCAAAACACATGTTTAATTCCATTCCAATAACTTCGAGTTGGAGAATTATGTCTTGCTAACAAACTTACAGAAAATACAATATGTGGTCTTACATTATTAAAGCATCTCCTAGAGACTCTTTAAACATGTGTTTTGCTAATTTAGATCAACCGTTGTACAACAATAATGTTAAACATAGATCATGATTTATTTATAATTGCTTTAATCAGTACAAGGATCTCTGTAATTTAATCAAATAAATATCCCATGAACTTGAATGCTATGATTCAGGTATTTTAAAATCCATCAAGAATTTTCACATAGACATCATTATCAAGCAAACCATATAAAAAAGTTGTAATCACATCCATTACACGCATCTCAAGTCTTTCATGTATTGTTAGGCCAACAAAATATTGGAATGTAATTGCATCATTACAAGAGAACATGTCTCTTTGTATTCAATGTCAGGCCTTACCCATTTATACTCCCCACTAGCTTTGTACCTTTAGGTGTTCAAATTGTAGGTTAGAAAACTTTATGTTTTTCTAGTAATCCAATTTTTCCTGGATTGCATCTTTCCAGCTTGGCCAATCGTTTCGATTTTGACATTCTTCAACGAACTATGGTGCCACATCCTTGCTTTCATTTATAATATTGAGCGCTACATCAAAAATATTGTCAACATGTACAATAGTTTCTTTTTAGTTCCATCTTCTTTCCTTAGTGACATAACTTATAGAGACCTCTTCAATTTTGCTATTTCAATTTTCATGTACTTGAACCTCTTCTGAGTTTTATGAGTACTTATGTGAACTTCATGAGTACCAAGCTCCTCAATGGGACCATCTTGCTTGCTTGCTCCTTCTTGCTTTCGGGGATTTTTAAATTTGGAATCGATTCTTGTGCCACGCTTTAGGCGTGCCTTAGATTCATTAGCTATAAACATGGACGGATTGTCCTACAGGGATGCCAATTCGAGCTGGAGTATTTAAAACTGAAATATGTGATTTGGTTACTCTCTTTGAATCTTAAATGCATCTGACAACTAATTTGCTTTGCAAATGAATTATCTTTTGAACTTCTTGCTCATGTTGTTTTACATAAGGATCAAAATAAGAGAATGATGATGAATTCGATATCATTTCTTTTTTCAACTGTTTTATTTATTTCCCTAATGCTGGGAAGACCATCCCATCAAAATGGCCGTCAGCAAACCACATCGTAAAAACATCATCTACCAGTGGCTCAAGATATTTTGATTAGATGGAGATTCAAACCCAGTATGTATTCCTAGTTTTCTTTGAGGACACAGCTTAGTGCATTGTGGTGGGACAATTGGTATGCATACCGCACAACCAAAAATCCTCAAATGAGAAATAGCATGGTCTCCTAACCAAAAGTCAATTGTAATGGGAAGAATTTTCAATGCTCAAGAGTTGTCGCATGTAAAATAGCATGTCCCCAAGTAGAAACGGGGTGATTTGTTCTCATAAGTAATGGTCAACAATTAATTGAAAGCATTTAATGATTAATTCTGCTAGACCACTTTTTTGTATGAACATGGGCAACATAATGTTCAATTTTTTGAACTTTGATGTGTGTACAGAACACTATACACACAGAAAATGGACAGAATATACACATACGTGGAGTCCAATTTTTTTGTCAATATTTTATTCATGTGGAGCCCGCCTCCCTTGTGAGATTTCTGTAGGAATTCTGGAACACCATTTCTTTACAAATGGTTTTATTCTCAAATTTTATCTCGATTGTCATACAATATTCGTTAAAACATTGGGATGTAAATTCACTAGCATTAAAAAGATAAATTATCTTGATTGATAATTGGAAATTGTGCTCTTAATCTAAAAATCTGAGCAAGCGATCTCTAACAGGCAAGGTTTCGAATATATATTAAGTACACATNAATCGAAAAATCTGAGCAAGCGATCTCTAAAAGGCAAGGTTTCGAATATATATTAAGTACACATCCACCACTTTGTCCAAAATCTATAGCTCATGAAAATAATATAATTCACATATATCGCCCATAATCAAGCCTGAAAGCCCGTCCCAAGCCCACTTCATTCAACCCACCCGATTTCAATAATATCCGAGCATTACATTTACACTTAATATGCTCCCACAAGATTTTAATTCATCTTGGAATCTGTATGTTGAGTGAGTCTTAGAAGGACTGAATTGCTTTTTTATATTTAATGATCTCTAATACTGTATTAACTTGGGATCCATATTGAAAGATAAACCTTGTAAAAAGAATTAGCTCAAAGGATTATATATTATGTATTATTTCATCATTATTCATCGTAAGATTTACTCTTAAAAATAGACAAAGATCTCAAGATGTTTGAATACCAAAGAAAGGGCACACATACGACACGTGTAAGCTATTAAGGTATGCGTACTTGACAACCACTTTTATATGTAATTTCGAGCAAAATGAAATTAAGAGCGGGATTATTGTGCATGGAAGACCATTGATATTTTATATTGTTGATTTTCTTGTCATTCATTATACTAGTCAATATAAGCTTGGACTAACTATAATCTTGTCATAATTTAAAGGCGTGGCACACGTGCTATTCTTGGACTAGTATAAACAAATCAATACTAAATTCAAAAGAAAAAAAATAGTTTTTTTTCCCTAAACAGCTTCAAATATTTTAGTGGCTTACGTATCCTAATTCTTTTACTTTTTATTGTTCTACGTAGCAAATGTTCAGGAAAAAAAAAAGAAAAAAAGAAAGAAAGAAAAGAAAAAAATTATCGAATTGTAAACAAATATATTTATTCTACAAATACATATTTTTTTTGCTTAAAAATCCAGAATGAAACTTATAATATAATAAATCACAACGAACATGCGGTGCAATAAGTGGCGAAAGAAGCGAGATTGTACTACTACATTTTATATTTTAAAATATGTAGTATAACATTTACTAAAAATGTTAAATACAATCATGTGTAGGATATTGATGCATGCATACCTAACTTAGGGTGCGTTTGATTGCAAGGGTGGAAAGAAAATATTTTACAGGGAAAAGATTTGCATAGAAAATGTTTTACAGAGAAAATGATTTCAACCGTGTTTGATTGGTATAATTTTACANAATCGAAAAATCTGAGCAAGCGATCCCTAAAAGGCAAGGTTTCGAATATATATTAAATACACATCCACCACTTTGTCCAAAATCTATAGCTCATGAAAATAATATAATTCACATATATCACCCATAATCAAGCCTGAAAGCCCGTCCCAAGCCCACTTCATTCAACCCACCCGATTTTAATAATATCCGAGCATTACATTTACACTTAATATGCTCCCACAAGATTTTAATTCATCTTGGAATCTGTATGTTGAGTGAGTCTTAGAAGGACTGAATTGCTCTTTTATATTTAATTATCTCTGATACCATATTAATTTGGGGTCCATATTGAAAGATAAACCTTGTAAAAAGAATTAGCTCAAAGGATTATATATTATGTATTATTTCATCATTATTCATCGTAAGATTTACTCTTAAAAATAGACAAAGATCTCGAGATGTTTGAATACCAAAGAAAGGGCACACATACGACACGTATAAGCTATTAAGGTATGCGTACTTGACAACTACTTTTATATGTAATTTCGAGCAAAATGAAATTAAGAGCGGGATTATTGTGCATGGAAGACCATTGATATTTTATATTGTTGATTTTCTTGTCATTCATTATACTAGTCAATATAAGCTTGGACGAACTATAAACTTGTCATAATTTAAAGGCGTGGCACACGTGCTATTCTTGGACTAGTATAAACAAATCAATACTAAATTCAAAAGAAAAAATATTTTTCTTTCCTTAACAGCTTCAAATATTTTAGTGGCTTACGTATCCTAATTCTTTTACTTTTTATTGTTCTACGTAGCAAATGTTCAGGAAAAAGAAAGAAAGAAAGAAAAAAAAGAAAAAAATTATCGAATTGTAAACAAATATATTTATTCTACAAATACATATTTTTTTTGCTTAAAAATCCAGAATGAAACTTATAATATAATAAATCAGAACGAACATGGGGTGCAATAAGTGGCGAAAGAAGCGAGATTGTACTACTACATTTTATATTTTAAAATATGTAGTATAACATTTACTAAAAATGTTAAATACAATCATGTGTAGGATATTGATGCATGCATACCTAACTTATATTTTTATTTTCCCCATTTTAATTGAAATTTGAATTTATCAACCAAAAATGTATGATAATTTTGGATCAACATACAATTAGATAAAAGTCTTATAAATTGACAATTTTGGCATCTTGAGTGTTGTGATTTTTATCTCTGATTGAAAACATCATCGACTTGAATCTTTCAATTTGACTTGAATCTTTCACCAATTTGTAACTTATGCATATAGAATTTAATTTAATTAATTGGTTTTATCTTATAATCAGTATATTCAACACAATTTTGCTCTCTCTCTCTCTCTCTCTCTCTCTCTCGGCATGTTCGTTGTGATTTATTATGAGCTTGTTTGGGATGGATTTTAATCCAATTAAAATTAAAAATATAGTCGTTATTGGGTCACACTCGTCTAATAAAAGTCAACAATAACGACTAATTTTTTAATTTTAATCTGATTTTAATCTCTATCAAACAAGCTCTATGTTAAAGAGTGCTAGTTATCACAATTCGAGAACACATTATTTAGCATTATTGAAGAACGAACACGATTATAGATGCACCATTTATTTTGTAATGGCTGGTGGGCTACATGTGCATTAATGTAAGTGCATTTTTTTTAGGACAAATAAAGATAATCAATAATAGCAACAAACCCTGGTTTGACATCCATTCACTTCTCATTTTTTTTCTCATTTTTTTTTCTTTCTTCATTTCAACCACACATTCTATCAGTAAAATAATATTACACATAAATCCAAAAATTAGTTTTACTTTTTAACCACGCATTCTTTCCATCAATCACTATTCCAGAATTTATTATTCTCCATGTTTGAGCCAAGTTAAAATTTTCGTTCTCATTCTTCTACTTATTTTCAACCACACATTATTCAATAAAATTATATTTTTCATCACATCAATAACTTTTCATTCTTTTTCAACCACACATACTCCATCAATCTAATATTCCAAAATACATTCTTCCAAAAAATATGGCTCAAATACACCCTAAACTTCGAGTCTACTACATAAATTTTCCTCTTTCTTAAAACTTCATAAATAAAAAAAGGTTCGTCAATGGTAGCAACGAAGTAAACTTTCTTCACACTATATATAGAGTCGGTTACGTGATTTCTTACTCTTTTTGAAACGACATTAACTTTTAAAGGCAAAAATAGTTAATGATCAATAATAACGAGCTAGGCCTTGTTTTAGTAAGCCCTCGTTTGAGTCTCATTTAAAAAAAAAAAATACATTATTGAATAGTGTTTTGACCTCATTTTAACCACGTATTCTTCAATAAGAGTGTGTTTGATGAATATTATTAAGGAAAGAATGTATTTTAAATAATGATATGATGTGAAATATATGGTTAAAAAATAAGAAAATGTTATTGATACGATAAAAAATATTATTTCATTGAAGAATGTGTGGTTGAAAATGAGTTATAAAAGAATGTGTATCAAACAGAGGCTAAAATAACATTACACGCAAATCAAAAAATTTCCTTAGTTTTTAACCAAGCATTTTTCATCAATACACTATTCAAAAATGCATTTTTTGGACAAAAA